CGAGATCTTGCAGTCAAAACCTAGCTGTTTACTGTATATTCTTGTGTCCATAGTTAATTCAATATCAATAGATCTATTGATGATAGAGCTATACTACCAACATTTGTATTGTCGCTGAATATATCCTCCCGGTCATGAAAAACGGAAAAGACTGTTTTTTTTGATTTCTCTATGATAGAACATCTTTTAGGTCCGCTACTTATACTACAGATAGATCTTGTGTTACTCTATTTGCTGGCAAAATTTCAGCCATATACACCAAGCGTTGGCTGAGAAAACGGAAAATCAATCTTACACACTCACATATAGTTGTGACAAACACTTGTAACTAATGCTTATGTTTTTGGTATTTCTTGTTTGATTCTGACTTGATAAATATTGATTAGTTGCCTTCTAATCATGATTTGCGAAGAGTAACACCTGTTGTCACCATTTGTAAATCATGATTAGAAGGCAACTAATCAATATTTACCAAGTCAGAATCAAACAAGAAATACCAAAAACGTAAGCATTAGTTACAACTGTTTGTCGCATCTACACGTGAGTGTGTAAGATTGATTTTCCGTTTTCTCAGCTATCGCTTGGTGTATATGGCTGAAATTTTACCAGCAAATAGAGTAACATAAGATCTATTGTAGTATAAGTAGCGGACCTAAAAGATGTTCTATCATAGAGAAAACAAAAAAACAGTCTTTTCCGTTTTTCATGACCGGGAGGATATATAAGATGAGTCTAGACAGAGAAATTTTGGATGCCCGATCGAAAAAGCATAAACTGAGATAAAACGAAAAAGATTTTCTGTTTTTTTCTGAAAACAGGATACCTTTCGAATAGGGAATGACGGAAATCTTCGAAAAGTTTTGGAAAAAACGAGATATTGAGTAAAAAATTTTAGTCGTTTTTGAAAGATCTGGAGACGGGTTATCTTCCCATGCATTTATCTCAATTTCGGAATTTCTGACGAAAATTGACTTTTACCGAGTGAGAGGCCTTAAGCAACATGTATTTCCTCTCGTTTCTTACAGTACAGATCAATCAATGTCCTCAATGATCAGTCAAATGGATTTCAAAGAAGTAGATAAAAATAATACTTCGAATGATATGGAAAGACAACTGCAGCGACCACTATTAACGAATCGATTTTTTCCTACTGGAGGACGTCTTACATCGATTGATGATATCCAAAGGAGCTCTATAGTGTCTCCAAATCCTCATTCAGTCTCCTATAGAAAAAGACGGTCATCAGTTGCTCTTGTTGATCCGGTAATGAATTCAATCGAAGATAATATTAATGATCATATTGTTCGTATCCGTCTCATTTTCATTCGTATTGGTAAACAAGAAAAATAAGAAAATTGTTTTTTCTCACCTAATATTTATTGACTGTTCATAGGTGAAATCGATACACTCAATGAAAAATATCAAGCGGATGTCTATTTTGAAGCGCGATGGATAGATGGTATTCATTTGGATACACTCGGTCTAACTGCTCAACAACGTACACAATTAATAGATGAGTCGGCAACTATTCGTTTGAACGAATTTTCTCCGATTATCCATTGGACACCCAAATTATTAATTGAAAATGCTATTGCGCAAATTGGTACGAGTGATTCTGATGGATGATATGTTCATATAACTTTTCATTCGAAATAGGCGAACCGGAAAAATGGTTCACAATAACGAAAATTGCACCCAAAGTGAATGAAATAATCCCGACATCTCTGGTCAAATTGGAAATTTGCGAACATCGCCGAGTGCGAGGCGCATTTTGGCAAAAACTCGAATTGAATCACGTAGGTTGGAACGAAGGTATATACGATCATCAACAATGATTTTTTTTACAGTTTCCAGCCGATGTACAAGATCTTACAATTTCAATCACTAGTGATCATCATGTGGATACGGTTCTGCTTGTTCAAGACGAAGATCGTTTTTCGACTATCAATCGTGCCGATTTTTTTGATCAACAAGAATGGGCATTATACGAACATGTGGCCACGGAAATGCGTGAAACAGAAGAAGAATATTCGTTTGAACATGAAACTGTTATCAAAGCCAAAACACATCCGGTTCTTGCCTTTACTTGTCGCGCAGGTTTGTTTCTCTTCTCCTATTGACAAAATCACAAAACTCTCGCTATATTCTAGCTCGTCAACCTGGTTACTACTATTGGAATGGCTTTTGCTTGATTTTTCTTATTACTATCTGCTCTTTTTGCATTTTTGCCATTCCACCAAAGTGAGATATTGTCTGTTTTGAATTTTCTAAATTCTATCAAAAAACAGTTGCTTTAGTTTGCCTCAAAGTCGTCTTCAAATCACTTCAACACTTCTTCTTACTTCGATTACTTTTCGTTGGGTGGTCAATCGATCTCTAGTTAGTAATATCAAAAAACAAATCAAACAAACAAAAATAAAACGACCAGTTACTCTTTTTTTTTCTTTCTAGCCCACAGTTTCCTATTTGACAACCCTGGACAAATATGGAATCATATCGATTTTTATACTCGTTCTTCTCTGTATTTGGCACGCAATTATTGCCACAGTGACTTTTCTAGAAACGTCCTCATTGGCCAATAATCTCACGCCAAATAATATTTATCTCCAAATCGATCGATACGTCTTCTTTAGTGTCATTTTTGGATATGCTCTGTTCCAGGTTGGTCTGATCATCTGGCTCATGTGTGTGCCGTACAAGCGACGCCGTGACATGCAAACACGCGATCGTGAATATACGAGAAATCGGCAAAAGAAATTAATTGAACTCATACAATCATTTCAAATTTCTTCCGATCAAAGTCAAACTTCGAACAATTATCAACCACCGTCAACTATGAGTACTCAGTCACTATTGAATAAGGGTCCTCTTGATCGATTTGAAAAACAAAATGACAATGTTTTTGCCATCCCAAATGCTTCAACACTCGTGCCGATCAGAGCAGAACCGCATGGGACCACAGTATAAGAGAATTCTACTGAATTACATAATTAAAATGATCGAATTTATGAGACGATTTTTAAAAAAACCGTCTAGATCTTGTTCGTTACTCAGCTTATATTTATTTGAACAATGAAACTAAGTGATTCAACGCAAAATATTATTATTAAACTGAAGAAAAAAAATTTAGTGATCATCGTCTAGTTATGTTCATCTATCTAGAGAGAAAAAAACAACGACAAGTATTGAGAGTCTTGAGAATCTAGGATGAACTATGAGACTAAAGAAAAAAAAAGAGAAGTCAAATGACAGATGTTCTAGTGATGTTTGCTACTGAAAGCTGATTTGCTAGTATTCTATGGAAAAAAAGATGGAAGAAAGCAGACAAGAATGCGGTGTTGTGCAATCAGAATTATTCTTTATTAGACAAACGGATAACTAGCTAAAATTCAAAGCTGTCGTAAATTTGGGTTCAACATACACACCAGATGAATAAAACTAGAAGGATATCTAGAAAGCATCAGTTGCGCTTGAAATCGGTTCCACTGTGGCAATAGCTATTGTCAGTGCCGTTTCATTTCCCTTTGGAACATCAATAAAACCCTATGGGAAAACAGTTATTCAGCAGAAAACAAGACAAACATATAAAAAAACAGATTGTATTGGTAGCGCCTATATTTTCTTGTTTGAAATGATATTTACCATCCTGTGCTTCTTACGGATAGCTTTCTTCCATATCTATACTTTTGTTCTCCTTGATATATTGAAATGAGGCATCCATTAATCCACCATTGCAGTCCATATTACCATATTTGTAGAGACAATCCATTAGATTCTTTGGTGACAAGCCACCAATTGACTTGTCTTTTTGAAATGTTGTCCTTCAAGCGCTCCCACTGCTGTAAAAGCCCAGTACGAACCCTATTGCTGCTGATTTCTCATCGGAGTGACAGCACCAGCTTTGGGGCTAGTCTATCGATAGAGAGAAAAACTTTGCTGTGATAGTGTTCTTATCAGAAGAAAGCAAAGTTTGTACTGTTGTGTACGATTCTATTGTTTCTTTTACGGATGATTTTGTCTTCAAACCTACTCTACAAAATATCCGAAAGTGTTCACCAACTGCAGCAGGTAAGTTCAACGTGCAGGTGCGGATAGACGATATGTATGGTGATGAAAATTACTTGATGCTGAGGAGACCAATTTCAGATTTAATCCACCTAGTATCTTTTCTACAAACTCGTCGTGTGTCTCCATGATAACAGAATGAGATGTGAAAGATATGAAAAACAAAATTTTCGTAGGGTGTGGGTGTGAGTGTGGGTATGAGTGAAGAGACGATAAGCATCCACACCCACACCCACCCACACCCACACTCTCACCCACCCACACTCGCACCTACACCCACACCCACACCCACACCCACACCCACACCCACACCCACAC